ACCCATTTATTGATTGGGTTATTTGTTATTTATGGTGTTAAGTTTTTAAGTTCTTTATATATCCTGGAGATTAATGCTGTGAGGTATGTGTGGTAAAGATTTTTTTCCATTCTGTAAGCTCTGTCTTCATGTTATTGCATTTTAGTTTGATTCCATCCAATAGGATGGAATAAATAATCAATAAATATATTGATTCTTGATTTTTACTTCTTGTTAAGGACATGGTAGAGATTTGAGCCAAATAATTTTTTCTACTAGTGCAGGGTCTCTGTTCTAGTGCCTAAGTCTTTGATCCACTTTGAGTTGGGTTTTGTATAGGGTGAAAAATATGGGTCTAATTTCATTTTGCTACAAATGGATTTACAGTTTTCCCATCACCATTTGTTGAAGACGCTATCTTTTCTCCAGTGCAAGTTTTTGGTGCCTTTGACTAGTATGAGATAACTGTATTTATGTAAACACTCCATTTCTTGATGGGGGATTGGCAAGATACAATTCACAAAGAGCATATGGGAAGGAAAATATTGTTATGAACATCTTCAGGAAAATAATATGTTCTAGTGCTCAAATGGGCAAATGTAGAGAACAACTATAAGCTCCAATTATAGTATTAAAATTCAGAGTAACCAGAGAGGCCTGTACTAGTAAGTAGACAATATAGGCTTCCTTTTATCATCAAGAAAACAGTAGTCTATCCTGACTAGTAGATAATCTGGATATGAATTTTTCTTCCTTTGACACTATGGTTCAATCCAGTACCATCCGTGAACTTAGTGAATGCCTTGGGTATTAGAAAGGTTATGTAAACAATTTTGGATCTTACTCATCCAAATTAATTAAGACAATGAAGCTTAAACTCTGGACAAGGACGATTTGTATCATGAACTCAAGTTCACAGAGGTATTTCAGTCAGCGAAATTTTAGAGTAACCTATGGAAAATTCAATATGCCACCACCAGGGGAATTTGAATGGCAATAACCAATACATAAAATTGTTTCCCCTACAGTCACACTTGCCATTACCTCTTCCTGGCTTGCTATATTACCTCCTTTAAATCTTTTGTCAATTCTAACTCCTTGCCTGATGAAAACATGACCTAGATGAAAAGCTACACTGATTCATGGAAGTACATAAGTATTTGACTTGATGAACAGGCAGATCAAAGGAACCAGATTTATGTCTTCCTGTGAAATCTGGATAAGTCTAAAATATCATCTTCATAACACAGACTTTCCTGAAAATGTTACTGGAAATTACAAATGTCCCTCCATCACCCTCTGTATCTCTATTCTCATATCCCACTGCCTTTCTTTTTCTGTGTCCACAGTACTTTATCATCTTCCAAAATACTATGTAGTTTGATATTCTGTTTACTGCCTGTGTCATTACAGTGTCATCTTTTTTGTCTTGTGCACTGATGCATTCCTAGCACCCAGTATCAAATGGGTATCGTACCCAGCACATGAAAATGTTCAATAAATATTTCTTGTTTGAATTAACACAGAAAAATATGGTCTCTGGAACTATGTGCTACAAGGAAGAAGGATATTTGGGATACAGTTAATGGACAGGCTAACTAATGGCAAATGATTTGGGCATGAACATTTGGTCTCTCCTATTAAAGAACTGATACTTTGATTAAAAACAGAGAGGGAATGTCTCAAAAATTTTTTGAAAAACGTGACTAACCTAGAGAACAAATGAACAGAACCTAGAGATCCTAAACTTAAAATTGTGTTCCTTTTAGGTCTCTTTCTTTAGAGAAAGGTTGAACACCTGTTAATTAAGTTATGATATCCTTGCATTATATTAAGTAGGAGCATTGTTTGTTATTAGAAATAAGAAGACAATAGATGGATGTATGCTTTTTCCAGAAACAGCTGAGGTAGGTGATCTATCCTGGGCCATAGTGAACATGTGCAATATTTAGCTACCTAAACTAACCCTTCTACATCTGATAGTTGAGCACACACGACAAATCCAACCTTCCCAACATAATACATAGAAAATTTTCTTCCTCAGTCTCCTTTACAGCTAGAGTTCACACATATGAACTCAGTACCATCAACCAGTTCCAACAATAATGAAAAGATATGTAAACAATCAGTGTATAGAAACAGGACCCAGTAAGCATCCATTTTTCTGGTTTCAGTAAAAGCACAGGTGATCACACTGGCAGTTCATGGCTGCTGTATCTTTTTTGGTGTATTATTCCTTTACCAATTTAAATAATTTCTTTTTCAGTCAGTAAATTTCCATTTGAAATTTATTTGAAATTAACATTGCTATACATGATGTATACCTGATTTACCTTTTACTTCATCTTTTTGTGTATATTGTATTGGGCTGCTTTCTGGCTATACTGAAACTTTCTAAATCCAAGATGAGTGTGTCTTTTTGAGACAATTTAAATCTCTCATGTAAATTATGACTAATACAAGATTAGAGCTTATTCCCATCATTTATTTTATTGTGTCTATTTACCATGACATATTTAATTAATATTGGTGTTGGTATTGTTATTATTAGTGCTTTTATCTTTTGCTTTTTCCCACCTATAGGATGATTAATGGTATATTATCTCATTTTATAACACTGTAATTCTCTTAATATTATCAAGATTTAAAAGAAAATTTTTATTTTCTAGAGCAGACTTTAATTATCTATGGCCATTATGTCAAATCTAGCCTACATTTTTATTACCTTCATAATAAAAATGGTTTTTACATTTTAAAATATATTGATGTTTTATAGAAATTTTATATAAACGCCTACATTACATGTTTAATTTTGATTCTTAACTGTAAAATTATTTACTATCTGGCCATTCAAGAAAGTTTGCTCATCACTGGTCTAGAGTAAATCTACTCATATAAGACATAAAAAATGGCATATTTTCTGATCTTTTTTTCCTATTTTCCTAATCTATTAACTACATGCATTTAAAAACTAAATCAAGCCATCACATGACCGCAACTGCAGCCTCCACTGACTACAAACATATATGAAAGGCTCAAGTGAATTACCATCCTGTTGATAACAGTTGACCTGTGGAAATGTGAAATAATAATTTTAGGGCTGGGTCTGTAGCTCAGTGGCAGAGTGTTTGCCTAGAACATGTGAGGAACTCGGTTCGATCCTCAGCACCAAAAAAATAAACAAACGAAATAAAGGTATGCTGTCCATCTACAACTACAAATTAAATAAAAACAATTTTAAGTGACTAAATTTAGAAGTTATATGGTAATTGATAATCAGATGCATATATAAATTATACATATAGGTAAATATACATGTAGCTACATAACATTAATAAATGTTAAGGTATTCAAACTAGTTGTGCTGAGCAGCTAGCTTTGAAACTTGCTTTTTTCAATGCTAATATGTCATAAAGATATTTCCAAATATACTCCAAATGGTCTTCTACTATATCTCCTCTGTTGTATTCTCTTTTGATGGTGCCTTAAAAGGACACCTGTCATTGGATTTAGGGCCCAGGATGATCTTATCTCAAGATTCTTACTATACTTATATATGCAAAGACCTTTATACCTAAAAAGATCACTTTCTGAGGTTCCAAGGAATGCATTTTTTCTTGTGCGGTGCACCATTAAACCCACTACAAATAGTGATTCTATATAGTACATTTTTCATACTGTCAAGAAAATTCTTAAATGTATAAAAATTTTAAATTTATAAAAATGTATAAAAGTTTAAAAATTTTAAACCTGCAAAAGAGACATTTGTTTTATATGTTTATATTTTTTTCATTTAGCTTTACATAGAAAAGAAAATTCCATGTCACTGATGCTTTCAAACTGATCCCCTGTCTACTCTGCTTTATAGAAGATAGGAAGGCTTATGACCCAGTTGAATGTCTTTGATGTAGTAAATGCAATGGAATTTTACTTTATAAAATAAAATAAAATATACCCACCTTTACCAGTTTTACATTCTTCCAACCATGTGTTTCTACATAAGATGACAAAGCTGTTATATCCCCACATTCATTCAGAAGTATTTGAGATGATTATCACTATGTGTATCAGCATTGAGCTTTGACACCCTCTGAGCGCTATGGTCAAGTCTGTTGGAAGATAGGACATACTACAATTATATCCTTTAGTTTGCATCTATCATAAAGTGTTTTTACTCTCTCATTTCATCTTCTCCAAGTCTCTTGAAATCAGTGTCATTAAAAGAGAATTCTAAAGCATCTCTAATTTCTTTTCTGTTATACTTGCACCTTGAATCTTACTCAGGCCAGTAGTAGCAAGTGAAATTTTTAAAAGCAACAAAAATGAAAAACACAAAACAGCCAACTTATCTCACCAGAATCAAATATTTTCTGAAAAGCCTTAAAAATCATAATTTTTTTATTTGTATATAGCTCCTATCCTCTGCTTTAATTACTCTGAATTAAAAACAACAATTTCACTGTACATTGTCTCATATAAAAATGGTGAAGTCTGAAATCAAAGTCAAAGATGAAGAATTTTGATATAATTAAATGAAAAGCAAATCATCTTAGTGAAATGCCTTTAACATACACAAATTTAACAACACAGGGTATTTTGAATTGCAAAAAGCAATCATTCAAAGTACACGTAAAATTACTTACATTTTGTCAACATACACTGTTTTTTCCATTTAAGAAACCTTTTTTTTTCATTTACTTCTTGGTCTGTGTGGTATGATTTATATTCAGAAAGCGTATTCAATGCACTGTCAACAACTTAATGGCCATGGCTGTGTCGTAGGTAGCCATCATCCAAGCAAAAGTACATTGTTCAGAAAAGAACAAAAGGAAGTTATAAGAGGAAAATCAGATAAAAATACAATTAGTCATATGTTTTTAAAAAGGAACACAGGTATGAACACACACACACACACAGGAAAATTTAAAAAAACAATGGCAGGTTTTCTCTTAAAAGCAGGCTGACTTAATCTCTAAATCTTTGGGGTAAAAGCAAAATGTCTTCCACATACAGATTGAGGCTTACTATCTTACCACAATTTGGAATCACTAATTAGATTATTGTGTAGGTATCTAATTTAATTCCAGGTAAATCTTATAGCATTTTCTAGTCAATATAACCTTAAGCACACTTTATAACCAATGATAGAGTATTTTTACATGCTTTATTTATTTATTTTTAACCTTTATTTTATTTACTTATTTTTATGTGGTGATGGGGCAAGCACTCTATCACTGAGCCACAACCCCAGAACCCCGCCCCCATGAGAGCATTTAAACAAATATTTTATGCTCCTGCTATATAATATTAATCACAAGTAATACAAACATTTTCAAATACAAAGCACAAATGTATGCATGACTGATAATTATTTCTTTCCTGGATCAATTTAAAAACAGAGTTGTTGTTTGAAAGACCAAGAACTATGCTCCATTTTAATATTCTTAGATATTAGTAAAATAAACAGACTTCTTTAATATGCCATAGTACTGTTATCTTAATGTTGGGTAAATAAATTTGGACTCTAAAAATCACATTAGTACTAATTCCATTTCAAAATGAATTTATCAGTTTAGGGTGTTATATCTTGAGCCATTTAAGATAGATACCACTTTGAAATCTCATAATTTCAAGAAATAAAAATGATGAGGACAAATGTACCAGTCTGATTAACCCAGGAAAGATTATAGCAATTGAGGTTTTTCTGGTTTGATTCTGCTTGCAATATCTTTCAAAAGAGGAGGGGTGGGGCCTGGGGTTGTGGCTCAGTGGTAGAGCACTTGCCTAGCATGTGTGAGGCACTGGGTTTGATCCTTAGCACCACACAAAAATAAATAAATAAAATAAAGGTCTACAACAACTAAAAACATATTTTATTTTTATTTTTTTATATGTAAAATACCTTTATTTTCTTATTTTTTTATTGATTGTTCAAAACATTACAGAGCTCATGATATATCATCTTTCATACATTTGACTCAATTGGGTTTTGAACTCCCCAAATACATATTGCAGACTCACTTCTGTTACATACTCACATTTTTACATAATGCCTTATTAGTAACTGTTGTATTCTGCTACCTTTCCTATCCCCTACTATCCCCCCTCCCCTCCCCTCCCATCTTCCCTCTCTACCTCCTCTGCTGTTGTTCAATTCTCTCTCTTTTTTCCCCCTCCCCCTTGCCCCTCATAACCTCTTATAATTTTGTGTATCACTGAAGGTCTCCTACCATTTCCATATGTTTTCCCTTCTCTCTCCCTTTCTCTCCCCCCATTCGTCTTAGTTTACTGTTAGTCTTTCCTCATGCTCTTCCTTCCTGTTCTATTCTTAGTGGCTCTCTTTATATCAAAGAAGACATTTGACATTTGTTTTTTAGGGATTGGCTAGCTTCACTTAGCATAATCTGCTCTAATGCCATCCGTTTCCCTGCAAATTCTATGATTTTGTCATTTCTTTGTGCTGCATAATACTCCATTGTGTATAGCTGCCACAATTTTTTTATCCACTCATCTATTGAAGGGCATCTAGGTTGGTTCCACAGTCTAGCTATTGTGAATTGTGCTGCTATAATCATTGATGTGGCCGTATCCCTATAGTGCACTCTTTTAAGGTCCTCAGGGAATAGTCTGAGAAGGGCAATAGCTGGGTCAAATGGTGGATCCATTCCCAGCTTTCCCAGGAATCTCTATACTGCTTTCCAAATTGGCCTCACCATTTTGCAGTCCCATCAGCAGTGTACAAGTGTGCCCTTTTCCCCACATCCTCGCCAACACTTATTGTTGTTTGACTTCATAATGGCTGCCAATCTTACTGGAGTGAAATGGTATCTTAGGGTGGTTTTGATTTGCATTTCTCTGATTGCTAGAGATGGTGAGCATTTTCTCATGTGCTTGTGGATTGATTGTATGTCCTCCTCTGAGAAGTGTCTGTTCAGGTCCTTGGCCCATTTGTTGATTGGATTATTTGTTATTTTATTGTCTAAAAACATATTTTAAAAGAAAGAGAAAAGGGAGGTAGGAAATCAGAAGGAGAAACAAAAGAATCAAGTTAACTGCAGGCATTAGAGAAAAGAATATGAGAAATGGGCCATAGCAGAAATAAACATTTAAAAGCATGTTCTGTTCAAATATCTCTTAGTCATTTTGGCAGAGTCTCCAAAGTTACAAAACTCACATAGTTACAATTCCCTGTGTGTGTGTGTGTGTGTGTGTGTGTGTGTGTGTGTATGTATAAACACACACTGTAGAATGGATCCTGCCAACTAATCTTAAGATAGCCAGTAGACACCAGAAAGACATTGCCTCCTGTAAATTTTTTTACAAATAGGGCCACAATCCAATTATGACTACATTTTTGTCAGGTTTACATAGACTTAATTATAGGTTGTTTTTCAACAAACCATTCTGACAGAAGGTGGGTCTATCACACTTGCCCCTTCCTCCCACAAGGTATACAAAGTTCTCTCACAGATAGAAATATCTGAATTCCTCTGGGTTTTCCCTTATGATGTGATCAATTGAAATAAGTTTGAAACATTTTTTCCTTGCAGATTTGTTTCTCTGGAGCTCAATATGAAAAATGAGAAAAGATATTGATTAGGGCTCCTGGGAGAGTTACACTGATTGAACACAGTATAGGTGTACAAATAAGAGAATTCATTTCATTGCATCCTAAACTCCAGAGGCAATTTCATCATTATTATTTTCCAAACAATTTATGTTTCTCTCTCTGTCAAGGCAGTTCCAAGGAACATTTAGTCAGTAATGATTGATCCTTATAGCACAACCAAACAGAGTACTTTAGAAAAATGGTCAGAAGAAAGGTTTACATTCAAATGGTGAGAAGCAATGGCACTGGACCATGGAATGGCTTTGGTAAATAAAATACCCTTTTTCCTCTAACTGGAACTTGGGTTTTAGCTGGGATGTCACATATTTTCCCCCCAGGTAGTCTTTGCAGACCTCCCTACCTCTCTCTGTGATTAAGGCATCCCTGTACTAAGCTTCCAGGAAATCATGTAATGTTTTTTTCTATATTAGTAATTACTACTTTCATAGACATTGTTCTCAAGATATTTACTAGAAGGTCTACACAATGGTGGCCATGACTCTTATTCATGATTATTGTTGCCAGCATTTAACAGTTTCTGACACATCCTAGATACTAAGTATTTATTACATTTATTACATGAGTGAACAAATAACTGAATGAAAGTGCCTTATATTCAGTGCTTTTAAAATTTTTTTTGTAGTTGTAGATGGACAGATGCCTTTATTTTATGTTTTTTTAATCTTATTTATTTTTTGATGGGGTTCTTTTTTTTAATCTTTTTTGGAACTGGGGGGTAGAACCCAGGGCTTTTCAAATGCAAGGCAGATGCTTTGCCACTGAGCTACATCCCAGCTCTATGTGTTTTTTATTTTTATGTGTTGCTGAGGGTCGAACCCAGTGCCTCAAGCATGCTAGGTAAGTGCTCTTCCGCTAAGCTATAGCCCCAGCCCATGTTCAGTGCTTTTAAGAAAGTAGTTACATTATTTTTCCACCTCACCTCTTTGAAACCAATATTATACACTAAATATGATCCAGCAATATTCAGGGATAAGTAGAGAATGAAATTTGCATTTACTGAGTACCATCCATGTGTCAAGCACATGCAAGTCCCTTTCCTGGACAATTTAATTTATCCTAAGCCATACACTACCTCTGCTAGGAAATTATTATATTATTATGTTACAGATGGAAAACCAACCAAGAAATACAACTTTTGTGTATTTTATTGGGTTATATGATTTATATTCTATTTTTTCTAGCTATTAAATGAGAATGGCAATAACTGAATTCAGTTATCTTAAAAAAAGTAAGACACACATTATAAAAAGAATGCATCAATAAAATAATGGTGCCAGGTATCCTGCTAAGCATGTTAGATGCATTATCTCCAGGCAGTCCTCAAAATAGCTATGAGAAACACTAGACTCATTTTACTCATGAAGAAAGTAGTACTGAGAATTTTAATAACTTGCCAAATATCATACAGCTAATACATGGTAAAGCTGAGACTCAAACCCAAATGAGTGTGATTCTAAAGCCTGAACCAAAATTTATACTATAATCTAAAGCCTTTTAAAGTTATCATTATTCTCTTGCTATCTAGATACATCTTTTACAAACAGCTTTATTGAGATTAAATTTACATACCAGACCATGAACCCATGTTATATGAATTAAACTCAATGGATTTAGTCTATGCAGAAGGTTGTTAAAACACTCAGGACAAGTCTAGTTTTAGAACATTTTTGTTTCTCCCAAGGAAAAGCCCGTTTCTATTAGTAGTCCCAAATATATTTTAATCCTATTCTGTGGCAAATCATGGGGCAATTATTGACTATGAAAACAAATATCTTTGATATGTTTATAGTTGAGAAGAGGAAGAATAGTATTGGGATAAATACTTTCATAGTTTATTGTTCTACTGCCACTTGACCTGGGTATGTATCATAAGCCTCTAGCTGCTCTTCCACTGAAATAATAATGAAGGGACTTTAAATCCATATTTGAACACTTTCTCTTAATTTTTAGATAGATAATAGAATTCCAGAACATGATATTTTCATAAGAAAAATTTACATTAGTGTAAGGGTAGCGTAGAGTGGATGTGTTAATGAATTTATCCAAAGCATGAAGCATTGTATGGGAAAAGGGAAAGATCTTTAGATAACTGAAGATAAAGTTCTGAGAATATGAAAAGTGAAAAAAAGGGGAAGGGGTAGCGGGAGAGTACCAAAGGGAAACATTGATGACTTGTAACTGTTTTTATAGCTAGCACTGGACAAATACTATATGTGAGGAAAATTAACTTCCCTTCATGTTTACAGATGTGGGTTTTCTACAAACCATATGTTAGAAACACTGAGCTTCTGGTCACCTCTTGGAAAATCATACTCTTATAGTAATCCCCTCCTACCCGCAAAGACACTTACCAGGACCACAGGTAGATGCTAGAAATTGCAGACAGTACTA